TCAGCCGCGGCTCGGTCTCTTGCAGGGCGGTGTCGGGGCTCCGCTCTTCATCAACGTCTGCAGCTGGAAGAGGGTCCCGGCGCCCAAGGCCCCCACTGACCCCACACCTGTCAGCGCGGGGCCGCTAGAAGAAGTATCTGGCGAAGGAGGTATGTCCCGAGAGAGTAGTGCCTCGCCCCGAATGCATTTCTCCCTGTAGTGCATTGCGTGGCAATCGCACACAGATCCTCGCTGCAGCTGAGGGTGGTGCTGTGCCCTGGCCCGCTCTTAGCTCGGGGTGGGGGCGGGTGAGGCAAGGAGGCAATAGGTGTATCTCAACAAGGACTCGAACTGAGTCCTTCCTTTTGGAAAAAAAAAAAAAAAAAAAAAGAAGAAACACAAAACCAGCATGCATCAAAATCCTGAAGAGTAGTTAGGCACTAGGAATCTCTTTGACGACATACACTCATATTGACTTGGATCATGTTTGGTGCGCATCTGCCCGCAGCCGCCCCGCTCCTCACGCGCAAGCAGGCCAAGACAATGGATTCTTTTTTTGTGACAGGACAAGGGGTAATGGCTTTAAACTAAACCAGGGTAGGTTTAGACTAGATATAAGGAAGAAATTCTTTACAATGAGGGTGGTGAAACACTGGAACAGGTTGCCCAGAGAGGTGGTGGAGGCCCCATCCCTGGAAGCATTCCAGGCCAGGTTGGACAGGGCTCTGAGCAACCTGATCTAGTTAGCGGTGTCCCTGCTCACTGCAGGGGGGTTGGACTAGATGACCTCTAGGGGTCCCTTCCAGCCCAAAACATTCTATGATGTTCCCATGCTTCTCCTCAAACACACAGACTGCAGGGTCAGCACACAGAGAGGTGTCATCTCTAGCCCAGGTTGCTAGAATTAGCTCTGCCCAGAAGCTACAAATCCATTTCCTTTGCTTTTAAATCAACTGATTATGAAGACCAGCACACGGTTCGATAGCAACAATTCTGACACATAACTTATTCTTACAGACACTTACAGGATTATAGATATTGCATACAACCCAGATGTTCTTCAGAGGGGAGAAGAAAACCCAGAAAAAATGGAACACTTAATCCATTTGACATTTAAATTTGTTGAGGAACGATGCAACCTTATTCTTTCTTATTCGTACACCACTGAATCATTCAAATTGAAAGGAAGCCTGGAAATGATGCAGCAACGTCTGAAAGGAAGGCAAATGCCAACTCCACATCTCAGTCAGAACTCAAAGAAGGGTATGTAGAGATCTGTCACTTTTCTCTGAGGACCTATCAGATTCTCCAATAAATTTACTCAAGCCTCATCTCTCTAACCCCAATTCTTGCCATAAGCATAAACCAAATGCTTCTTTTTAAGAATTCAGACTAAGGCAGTAGTATTTATACTAGATATCAGTTTAACCCTGCTGACCAATCTGCATTCATCTCTGCTGGTTTACAATTAAGAAACTGTAGTGACACTGGAACAGCAAATTCCCTTTTCCCTGTATCCACGAGACATGAGAACTCTGCTAGGGTTTGATCCTTTGAGGTACTCAGTTTCTTTTGCTCTAACCCGAGTAAAAGGGGTTGCTGCTGTACCTAGTAGTCTGAAAACAACAACTTCTAACCCATTGGCAATAAAACCAAGTCATGGGTGAAGGAGAAACTGCCAGTCACAGTCGAGCTGTCAAAATTGCTAATTACAATTAATTACAGTTAAAACTTGCATGATACATTTGTCAAGTGGCATATATTACAGTTGTTAGTAACTGAGTGATACGTGTGAAAAACTTGTTTTTCTTGAAAGAACTGACACTTGATCACCTGCTACACACTCTGGAAGCTGAGGCCTGCAGCAATGCTCCTGTGCTGCTGAGGGAAGAAAGTGTGACACAGTCTAAAGTGCCTCTGATAGAGGAAATTACCAGTACTGAACTGTCAGAGAAGATAAGTACCCCTGTCTATGAAATTACCACCGTGAAGGATGCAAACAAGAAACCACTCCAAGTTGAACTCAAAATTGAATTGCCCAAGGTTAGCTCTGTTTCTGAGTGTGATCTGAGAATTTCAAAGGTAAGAGAGCAGAAAGAATAACCTTGTGTTTTCTGTCTAGTATCCAATTCCTAGAAATGCTCACTGCTAATTTGTTGTCAAATAGTTAATCAAGCATTTTAATTTTCTTGGTTTAGGATGACATAATCATTGAAGTCCCTGAAAAATACAGATTACAACTGGATCTGCCAGAATTGGTGGACGAAGAAACAACTACAGCAGTATTTCACAAAGGAAAACGGGTATTGTTCATCACAGTGCCAGTTGCCAAGCCAGATCCTTAAAGATTGCATTCTGTCCAGTTCACGTTCACAGGATGACAGAACAGAACAAAAACTCAAATGAGAAACCCAACTTTTAGATGGTTGGGGTTTTGGGGTTTTTTTTGACCTTCTAATCTTCAGGTGTGAATACCTCAAATGCCTTTAGGAGATGCATGTAGAAAATGAAGTGTGGAGGAATACTAGCACCACTAAACTTAGGGAAAAAAGTAAGTAAAGACTGTAAATATTCAAGGAGTACTTGAGGATGTTAACAGCTGTAGTGAAAACCATCAATGCACACATGCTTCACTACATCATTCGTTTTGCCTTAAGGTAAAGCAGTAACAGCTGTGAAGTCTTTTTGCTAAATAAATTGATTACTGGATTCACGTGGTTAGAGCAGCTCTCACATGTATGTAATGCTGGAACAACCAGCAGAGGTTTGTCATACACAGTCCTACAAGTGACCCAGTATGCTCTTGCTGTTCTCTTTAGGGCAATCCCTGCTGATCTTAACTGGAATAGGCTTTGTAGTCTTTTCAGTCACTGAATATGCTTGACCTCACTTACCGGTTTGGTAAGCTCTGAATGAGACCATAAAGCAACAGACCTATTCTGTACTATTCAAAACAGCATACAGAGATTAAAAGCTCAGGAACACTTAGTGTGAAGCTAGCAACCAAAACCAATCTTGGAGCATTTCAACTAGGAAAACTATCTGCATTGGTTTACACTAATACACAAAATACAAACTAATACAGAGCAACACAAAACAACTTCAAGTATTAAGCATTACTAGAATTAATTGGGAAAGGAACAAAAAAAAGTTTAAGTGATCTTCATTTCATGATTGGTTTGGTAGTATGTCATTCTTACAGCTTCTATGACACATTTGCACTACAACTACAACCATGTTTCTGTACCAGTACTCATCAGACCAGAAAT